CATCTAGAATCAATTCTACAATGAGCTCTTTGTTTCCTGTTCTTGCTTTTTGCCTCTTGCTTCTTTCCTCTTTACAACCGTTTTATCGACCATTGTTTTTCTTGTTATATGTTTCTTGTTTCTTCCGAAGTTTAACTTTTATTTCAGACGACATAAAACAAAAAACCGGATAAGAAAAAAAACAAGATGTAAAAAATAGCAAAAAGCAAGAAACAGAAAACAAAAAGCACATTGTAGAATAGCCATTATTGACCAAAAAGGCAAGAGATAAACAGAGACAAACAGCAAGAAAACAAAGAGCACATTGTAGAATTAGCCTAAGCCTTTTCTCTTCCCCTTCATTCTCTTTGTTTCCTTTCTATTTCTTTTCTTTTTATTTCTTTAGAACATTTAATTGTATTCAATTCTTCATTCTAAAGCCTACTTCACATCACCTTATCCTTGCCCAATTTTTTGAACCTGCTTGTCTTCTGATACTCGTCCATACAATCTATTTCCATACTGCAAAATATATATCTTCAATGCTTTTTCTTTAGTCAAAATTTATTTGCTTCTATATTCCTTGTAAGAGCTATACACAGAGCTATACAAGCTATATACAAAAGTCATGTAATTATGTACATAACATTTTACTATTGGATTGAAAATTTTTGCATCCAAGCTAATTTTCTTTATTACCAAATAATATCGCATTATAACATTATATTTGATAGTTGTGAAAACATGGAATCTGATAATCCCGTGTTTAACATACAATTATCAAGAAATAAGTTTGAATTTTCTTGTCAAAAAGATCAAGAAAACGATTAATTTTCGGATTTTTGTATTTCGACATGTTAATGCTCAATTTTATTTAACATCTCACATTTTCTTTATTGTACTGATGATGGTCACGACTTGACCGAAACGTTTACATGTAAAATTTTAAATATATGACTTCTACGAAAAACATTTTACTGTATGCTCCTTATTTATGTTTTATTTTTTTTTACATTAGGCGTAATTATTGTGCAACAAGTAAGGACATAAAGCGAAAACTAAATGAATTATCAGTATTGGGATCTAAAGGTTTACTTGAAAGTGAAAAAAAGATTTGGACACGCACATCGCCAGCAGATTTGTATTATGTCAGGGATGAAAATAATTCAAAAATAGTGAAAAGTACTTTGAAACTACAAGAATTATGTGTAACATTTAAGAAAATGTTAATAGACAGAGCAGCTGCAGCGAGAGAATTGCAGGTATTCCCATAATTATAAAGAAATATAAAGAAATTATGTATAACTATTATATAATATGTTATCTCATTTAGCCTCCTTATGAACCACCTCCAAGAAAAACAAGAGCACGTCTTTGTCGTCATAAATCTGAAGCTTGCAGTAGCAGCTCTTCATCCGATAGCGACAATTCTATGGATGAAGATGACAGAACAATGGAAGAATTAATGGCAAAGAAACAACATCCACAAAGATTGCATCCTGAAATGTGGTTTAATGATCCTGGCGAAGTAATATCGAGAAATGTTTTATAAGTAATTTTTTTTTACATTGGCCTTAACATTTCAAAATATAGTGTTTTTTTTTAAATTATAGATGAATGATGGTCCATTATGTAGATGCAGTGCAAAATCGAGACGTTCAGGTATACGACATGGGATCTATGCTGGAGAAGGTGCGATAAACAAATGTGATTTAAATACGAACAATGCAGATAAATTATATCATTATAGAATAACTATTAGTCCACCGACAAATTTTCTTACAAAGACACCGACGATTATTAAACATGACGAACATGAATTTATATTTGAAGGCTTCTCCATGCTTTCTCATTTCCCATTGGTTAAGTTACCTACATGCAAAGTTATAAGATTTAATATTGAGTATACAATTCTATATATAGAAGAGAAATTGCCGGAAAATTTTACAATACAGGAACTAGACTTCTTTCGTAAGTAGTTTGTTCTAATACATAAAAAATATTTCTCTTCTGTTATCTAACTTAACAAAATATTTTAAATTTTTACAGAGACATATTTATTTAAAGAGATTTTGGAACTCGTAGATTTTGATTTACATGCAGCTCAGGACAAATCTGGCTGCGGACAGTTTCATTTTATGCCAAGATTTGTACGTGACTTGACTGACAATGGTCAAGAGATTCTATCAATGAACGAAGTTCTGAATTATTTGATAAAGAGTAGTACTCTCTTAATAGATCCAGACAATCTATCAAGATTAGTGGCGATGCCACAATATAAATGGCAAGATTTTGCTGATGAGGTAAAGGGAATGGTTGTGACTTATCCAGGCAAGAAACCGTGCAGCGTTCGTGTTGATCAATTGGATAGAAATCAAGAAGAATTGTGCAATAAGACACTGCTTACTTATCCCGAAATAGTTCATTTTGGTATTCGTCCACCACAACTTAGTTACGCAGGAAATGCAGAGTAAGTATCTTACAGGATAAGCTGGTACAATTTTAAATCAATAAGATTAGAATCCAATTTTCGAGATTTGGTTTATTCTTGTTTGTACCTTTTAGTAGTTTTTACATAATGAAATTTTTGCATCAATATATTTCGATTTTCGATTAATTTAAAATTATATTTTTCTGATTATAGTACATATATATACATTGATTATATACATTGCAGTACATAACTTTATTTTAATACCATTATGCGTACTAATATAGAGTAATTTTTACATTTTTTACCTTTTAAAATAATTATTAAATTTCTTAGAAGTGATCAATAAATTTAATGAATGCCATAAGAAACCTTTCTTTCAATTTTTTGTAAATTACATTTTTCTTAATACATAAAGCTTCTATGAACATGCTTTTTACTAGTTACCAAAAAGCCTGGAGAGATTACGTGAAATTTCGACATCTACTCGCAAACATGTCAAAACCATCCTTCGAAGATAAAAGAAAATTAGAGGCAAAGGAAAATAAATTGCAAGAGTTACGTACTCAGAGCAAAATGAAACGCGATGTCACGGTCGATGTCAGTTCCGAAGGATTTTACAGAACTGGCATTATGTGTGATATTGTACAACATGCGATGTTGATACCAGTACTAGTCTGCCATTTGAGATTCCACAAATCTCTGGATAATCTAGAACGCACGTTAGGATACGAATTCAAGAACAGGTATCTACTCCAACTAGCTCTTACGCATCCCAGCTACCGCGAGAATTTTGGCACGAATCCGGATCACGCGCGGAATTCCTTGACGAATTGTGGCATAAGACAGCCCGAGTACGGCGATCGCAGGATCCATTATATGAACACGCGTAAGCGTGGTATCAACACTCTGATAAACATAATGTCCAGATTCGGCGCGAAAACGGAAACAGAATCATCGATAGCGCATAATGAACGGTTAGAATTTCTTGGTGATGCGGTTGTTGAATTCCTTACTTCCATTCATCTCTTCCATATGTTTCCGGATTTGGAGGAGGGCGGTTTGGCTACTTATAGAGCAGCAATTGTACAAAATCAGCATCTTGCCGTATTGGCGAAGAAACTGAATTTAGAAGAGTATATGCTTTATGCTCATGGTAGCGATCTCTGTCACGACTTGGAGCTAAGACATGCAATGGCGAATTGCTTCGAAGCGTTGATGGGTTCACTATTTCTTGATGGAGGAATAGAAGTGGCTGATCGGGTTTTTGGGGAGACGCTTTTTAAGGGTGAAGAGGATCTTGCTAAAGTTTGGGTTAATTATCCACGACATCCTCTTCAAGAACAGGAACCGACAGGAGATAGACAATGGATTTCCAGCTTTGAACTGTTACAGGTATTAATCAGCATTTAAACAAACTTTCAACTATGAAATCACTTTTTTTTTATCTTATGTTATCAGAAATTAACCAAGTTCGAGGAATCAATTGGAATAGAATTCACTCATATTCGTCTTCTTGCTAGAGCGTTCACAGATCGTAGTATAGGATATACTAATTTAACATTAGGATCTAATCAACGACTAGAGTTCCTAGGAGACACCGTGTTGCAGCTTATCGTTTCTGAATACTTGTATAAGTACTTTCCGGAACATCATGAGGGACATTTATCGGTAAGCATTATTCGTAAATTGTTTTGATAATTTTTTTTTCTATTAAATTTATAATCATTTTGTTGCAGTTATTACGAAGCTCTCTCGTAAATAATAAAACGCAAGCAGTCGTTTGTGATGACCTCGGTATGACTCAGTATGCGCTTTATGGAAATCCAAAAGCTGAATTGAAAACAAAAGACAGAGCAGATTTATTAGAAGCTTTTCTTGGCGCGCTTTATGTCGATAAGGGTTTAAAGTATTGTCACGTATTTTGTGATGTATGCTTCTTCCCACGTTTGCAAGATTTTATTATGAATCAAGACTGGAATGATCCAAAGAGTAAATTACAACAGTGTTGCTTAACTTTAAGAACTATGGACGGTGGTGAACCAGATATTCCCGTGTACAAGTAAGTTTTTATTTTTTTGCCTATGAAAAAAGCCTCTATAAAATTACATATGTGTACATAGTATTTATTTTTGCAAATGTCTAAATTTTCTTCCTAGAGATACAAGGAACAAATGATGCAAAAGATTTATTTTTATATGCATTCTTATGTGGCTTGCTTTTTCTTTAGAGTCATCGAGTGTAAAGGACCAACTAATACAAGGGTTTATACAGTCGCTGTATATTTCCAAGGAAAACGTTTAGCTACGGCTTCAGGACATAGTATTCAAGAAGCGGAAATGAATTCTGCCAAAGAAGCTTTAGAAAAATCACAAGGTACATAGAAATAAAAATAATAATTATATAGAATCGAAAATAATCAATAATTTACACACACACACACACACACACGCGCGCGCGCGCGCGCGCGCGCACGTACATACATATATACACACGCACGCTCGCACCCACAAATATGGAATCAATATTAGGAAAAATTAAATTCGTCATTGTACTTTTTCATACAACTTTTTAATATTTTAAATATTGGGTCATCTAAAAAGTATCCGCGGTTTTTTGTCACTAGATGTGTGTTGATGGTCATATATCTAATGACAAAGTACCGGTAATAAATGGTGGATGTTAAAAGCGGACATCGAACAATAATTAAAACATTTTTTTCTTTTAACTGCACTGCTCAGAGGAATCTGCAAGGCACAAAAGTATACGAGTCTTTAAAAGGATGCTGGTGCGACAGTCGAATTTGATCGATGTCGATAAAACAGATTTTTAATTCCAAATAAAATATTGGGCCATCTAAAAAGTATCCGCGGTTTTTTGTAGATGTGTGTTGATGGTCATATATCTAGTGACAAAGTACCGCGGATACTTTTTAGATGACCCAATATTATGTGCATCGAAGAAAACATTACATACATTAATTGAAACATTACATACACTCACCGACTAAAAGGGTTGCAACAATTTTTTTTCTACGGTTTTCAGAATATGCATAATCATCGAGCTGGTCCTTATTTATGGATCCATAAGTAAGAATCAATCACTCAATAAACAGACTGCATTTCAAAACTCATTAAAAAAAATTGTTGCTTTTAGTCAGTGAGTGTACATTAAATAAACCAATAAGTAAAACGTTAGGTACATTTCTTGCTCTGCTATATCCTACATCACATGAATGTGAGGTTATAAACACTCAAATCGTCAACATAGTAGAAATACAAGGATATTGCGCATCCCAAGTATACCCAGCCAATGAAAATTGCAGCTTGACTTAGAGATCCTAAAAGTAGAGATCAGCCAAAGCCCGACATGATGTTGTGAAATCGGAAATCACGTGATCTTGGAAATACGCACCAATATATCAACGCCAATTTCAATGAGAATTTTAATAGCAAGCTGTGTCGCTTCTCTCACTCTCATCGGTTTCATAACAATATGGCAGAGCCAATCATAGATCAAGTCTACAGTTTGGTCGATCTCTATTTTTAGGATTTTTAGCTTGATGCGTCATCATTAAGCGGCAAATTTGAATTGTCTAATAACATTAGCACAATAACATTAATGAATTATGTGCAATTTGATATTAAAATTATGGAAAAGTGCAGAAATGTAAGTTAATTTTTGTTGTTATTTACAAATAGATAAAGTATAAATGAAAGTATTTTTTTTTGAATATTTATATTAAAAAATATTAAAGGATAAAATTTTCAACACAGAGTGACATTTTAAAGCCAATCAATATTTTAAAGAGTTTTCATGTAAATGTGTAAAAAAATAAAATGCTTTGCACATACAATTATATGTATTAATGTATTAATTTAATGTATTAATTTAAATATAAAAATTGTCGAGGGACAGTTTATATTTAATAATGGAGAAAAATTTTGAGAAATTATGAGAGGAAGATTACGTACAAATAAAAAAACATGGAACATTATCAAATATCAGATTCAAATATCAAATAACAAGCTTACTATCAAATAACCACAACAATGATCTCACAATAATGTCAAACAGTTGTGACAGCGAGCAGTCATATCTGTGGCTGCGTTCGGAAACGTCACGCGGATGCTTCCGATACATCATCTGCCCTTGTTTAATATTAGGTGCCTTCGAAGTTATGCATGAAATGCATAATGCATCATTTGTCTTTATTGTTCACCAAATAATAAAGAAGGATAAAACGATACATCATGCGCTTCATGCGTAACTCGGAACGCACCCATTTAATGTGTAGCTATTATATCGAAGCACTCCGAAAAGTACCGAGTCTACACGAATATGACGTCATCAAGCTGATGCGCGTAGAGTTCTAAATTCGTTCCACAGGATGAGAATACTCTTGTATTTCTACCATGTTTCTCAAGTCATTTCTCTTTTAAGCTTCAAAATCATAATTTAAAGATCTCATGTGATATTCTTATAAATTATAAATTATTCAAATATGAGAAACTACTTTTTGACCTGTATAGTCAAAGCTTAAGGCAGCTTAAGATCGTCTTGGTCAAAACTGTCCTTATTCAATCAAGATCGTCTTGAGATCATAACAATTCATAGTCACGAAATAAGATGATCTTTGAGAAGAAATTCTTCTTTAAAGCTCCTGACTACTCAGCCAAAAAACTCTGCGTTGACACAGAATCAGACGGTGGTCTGGCGAAATCGGTAGCCACACACTTAAACCCATGTCCGTCTGCGGCACGCCGAGCATGAACGAGCATGAACAGCGAGCTCCTCATACTAGTTACTTGTTTCAATCGAAAATATTTTCTCGGCAATTTCGGCTGCTCGGCGACTCTAGGCATCAATAAGGAGCGGAGAGCATTCTAAATAACATATAAGTTTTAATAAATTATAGTAATAGTATACCCCTCCCATTAATCCAAAGAGAATAGTATAAATCATATTAAAACGTAACAGTTTATGTTTATGAGATATTTAATTGTTTATGATTTTTTATGCGCGTTACATATCCTTTCTTCATAAACTCGAGTAGCAAGAATAGTTTAGTAGAAGTAGAATTTTACCGGGAAAAAATTATAAACCAGTATTTCTTTTCAAGTCTCAAAAGGCCATCAGAAAAGAAATGCGTATGTTTGATGTATGAGACTCCAGACTTGTGAAGAAAATACGTAAAAAAAATCGAATAGTTGCAAAAAGTACTTCTTTCGCTTATGAAACGAAAGATATTGTATGGAAAAAAATTCGGTATAAAAAATGTATTCGAAATACTTACAAAATGAGACGTGGAACATTAAAATCAATCTATTAGTTTAGTAGAAAAAAAATAGAAGACACTGAAAAAGATTTTTTTTTACTCGTTCTCTGTTCATTGAGATTGAACCGCTTTGAAATTATCGTAAAATGTAGCCCTTGTAATAACGAACAAATCTAGTCCTGAACAAGCCTGAAATCATTAGTTTTTGCAAAAAGCCATTTATTCATTAAAAATCTGCGGAAAACTTAATTTCTTCATTTTTAAGCAATCGTATAGCAATTTACAGGGGTGATTTTTCTTCTTCAAGAGTTGCGCTATCACGTAATAACAAAACGATTTTTTGCAGTTAAACTATTATAAAACGACTTTAAAAAGTGGGTATCTTTTTCCGTATAAAAAAATGAAATAATTTCGTTAATATGCATCATATCAAATAGCCGTGTAAAGCATTCGAAATCTGACATTTTTCTACGAATTTAAAAAAAAAAGATTACCCTCCGATTATTAGGAGCTGAGATAACCATTTTTTTTTCCCTTCAAAAAATCACTGTGGCTCTAATTTTTAAGATTAAGAGTTCCGTCTATCCAATTTGTATCAATTTGTCAAGGAAGAATTAAATTCACTGTTTAAAAAAATCTCGAATTATAATCATGAAATTTTTAGTTTAAAAAATTTTTTTTGTTTCTTGAATTTTTATTTTTTTGATTTATTACTAAAAAATCATGTTTGAGTATGGAATGCATGTCTGATTAATAAATTTAAGTCACATTAGCTACGTTTCTTTATTTAACATGTTGTAAAAAGTGTCCAATTGGACAATTAATGTATGTAAATAATTTGTACGAAATTATCAGTACAAAATTGTTTTTGTGAATTTAATTGTGATGACATGATCAAATATAACATATGTAAATAAATAATTAATAAATAATTTAAAAAAAAAAATGTTAGTCAAATGTTAGTAAAGATATAACACTAACTTTCACAAATATAGAGTAAATTGATGTTACACGAAAAATATATTTTGCAACTATATTCAATAGTTACATTAACATTTGCAAATTGTTTATTAATTATTTGTTTATATATATCATATTTGCATCTGCAATTAAATTCACAAAAACAATTTTGTATTGATAATTCCGTACATATTTAATTGTCTAATTGGACACTTTTTTACAGCATATTAAATAAAGAAACGTAACTAATGTGACTTAAATTTGTTAAACATGCACTCCATACTCAAACTTGATTTTTTAGTAATAAACAGAAAAAATAAAAATTTAAGAAACAAAAAACTAAAAATTTCATGGTTACAATTACTTTGCGAAACATTTGGTTAAGCTATTTGTTTGTATCTCGTCGAGCTATCCCAGATTTAAAAAATCATGTTTCCACATCAATTATTGCTGAAAAAATGTAAATTTAGCAAATTTTACCACGCGCGAATCACCGAGCGGCCCGATCTTCTCCATTCAACAGCGCGCCGGCTTCTCTCACTCCGCCCGGCGCACTGCCTCGCGTTCTTCAACGTTTCAATGGTTTTAAACAAACTTTTTCGGCAGCAAAAAATTGGAGAATTTTTTAATAGCAAGTTCAATTCTTCCTTGGCAAATTGATGCCAAACGGAACTCTTAATCTTAAAAATTAGAGTCACAGTGATTTTTTGAAAAAAAATTGTTGTCTCAGCTCCTAATAATCGGAGAGTAATCTTTTTTTTTAAATTTATAGAAAAATCAGATTTTGAATGCTTCACATGGCTATTTGATATGATGCATATTAACGAAATTATTTCATTTTTTTATACGGAAAAAGATACCCACTTTTTAAAGTTTTTATAATAGTATATTAAAGTCATTTTATAATGGTTTAATTGCAAAAAATCGTTTTATTATGAAGTGTAAACGTTGCTGCAATATTTCGAATCACAATCGGCTCATCTATGAAGCATTGGATGATTTCTAAGATAAATGTGACGTTGCTGTAAAGTATATGTACATTTGTCTACTGGGAATATTTTAACGAAAAAAATTTAATTATAATTTAATTTGTTTTTTTATTTTTAGAATGTATTTATTAAGAGAGAGAGTTTATTAATTATTTTTATATACATATTCTTATACTTATATAACGCAATTATAAATATTCTTGAAAACGCATGGAGTATCGACGATTTGAATCCATGGTGGTAACTTTTGAGATAGCCTACCTATGCTAACATTGAGTTAATAAGCGTCGCACGCTTATCTGAACACTTTTTTAAATTTGGCATATATTGGATTTTATTTTGTCATTCATACTGATCATGTATGTAATATGCATGTATTTATATATAGGGTGTCTGATAACTCTTCTGACAACGCTCGTGGGCAGGTAGAGTGGACTAAACTGATTGTGAGATGAAAAGTCCTCTACCATTTTACAATTTTTTTAGTTAACAAGATATTAATTATTAAAAATCGCCGAATATTGGTTTTCAATAATTTTTTACTCAAGTATTATTAACTTTACGAAAAAATAGACAAGAGACAAAAATTGTTTATTTTCTTATAGAATTGTGACAATTTTTTTAGATTTTTTCAGAATTTTTTAGTACCACATTTTCTCATGTTGGTAAAAATATTATAGTTGCCAATAAGAAAATGCAGTACTAGAAAGTTGATAAAAAATTCTGAACAAATTCTCAGAAAAAAATTCTACCTGAGGAGAAAATAAACAATTTTTGTCTTTTACTGTATTTCTGTAAAGTTGATATTACTTGAGTAAAAAATTATTGAAAATCAATTCGGCGATTTTTAATGATTAATATCTTATTAACTATTGCGAAAATTGTAAGATATATAGTAGAGGACTTTTCGTCTAAACTTTACGAGGGCAAGGTGAAAAGTTCTCGGCCTAACCCATAGATGGTACTGCTACAAATAAATGTATTTTTAAAGTAAAAAACTTATTCTTTCACTTCTAGGCCGAGAACTTTTCACCTTGCCCTTGTATAGTATATTTATCTTACTATAGTGTCTTACTTCATGCAGCGTAAAATAAGGAAAAATTTACAATTCATTTATGCTTACTATGTTATTACATCACATCAAGATTACGAATTCTTTCAACAAAATTCGTACATCAAAATCGACATTTGTTTATCAAAATTTTAGAGTATATTTATCTTACTTTATGCGGCATGAAATAAA